AGAGAGAGAGAGAAGTAGGGGTTTGTTGAAATAAAACATGTTAAATAGTACACAATTTGACTATTTATGTGAGGAAAATTAAGGACACAGCTTTTTAAGTATCTGACTACACCTAGAAAATTGACCAAATATGACCCTTAACATACCATTAATAGAAATGAGATCACTGGAAAAGGAAGCTAATGAAGTATAATAATCAAATGATTCTGAGTTCCTTTTTGGATCTATTGAGTTTGATATATTTAGCAGGGCTGCCACATTGCACAACCCCATTTTATTCTGTGTGAATGATGCCACTAGAAGGTTTACAACATTGGTCTAGTTTGCAGCGCATCTAGATGGAAGAATCCAGCAAGTAGTTGGAATTAAGAGGCAAATTGTCAGGAAAGATGTGAGGGTTAACATTGCACATTTGAGTTCACTGAAATAAATGGATGTTGATGATGTTCCCCAGAAAGAAATGGCAGAGGAAGAAAAGGGTCAAGAACAAAAACTTGAGGCAACTTTTCGTTTACTGGATAGAGGCAAAAAGGAGCAAATTAAAGAGACATAAGGGAGCTCTGGTAGCATAGTGGCTAAGACACTTGCCTGCTAACCAGACGGCTGGCGGTTCAAACCCACCAGCCACTCCTCGGAAGGAAGGTTGGGCAATCCTACTTCCGTAGTGATACTGCCTCGGAAACCCAAGGAGGGGTCGCTATGAGTCGGGGCCGACTCGACGGCACATAACAACAACAACAACAACAAGCATGCATGTGTGCGTCCAGCATTACCCAGCTTTATGATATTAAGACTATTCCCTGTGACAGCTGAAACCACATGAAAACCAACCCTTGCAATGCTGGCATTATTTACAACATTGGTCCTAAATCTTTCTTACATTCCATTTCTTCTTCTTCTCCCACCCTCTATGTCATGACTTGCCTTCCTGTTTATAATCTTGCCTATAGCTTGGAAGTGAAGTGCTCAACACTGCTTTCCAACTTCAACTTCGCACTGCTCTCATCTGTCTCAGTTTGAACTCTTCCTTTAACAACACTCCGATAACCTGAGGACAATTCCACCACAGTCCCTCAGAACACATGCCTTGCACTAAGTTTTCTTTGGCCCCCTGATTAGGACAGAAAGTTAAGAAAACCAGCATCATGCAATGACATAGAAAGGCAAGAGTTTCAAGGGGATGGTCACTTGGAAAGGGGCTCCCTATTGTTTAAGGAGCTCTGGTGGCATAGTGCCTAAGGCATTTGACTGCTAACCAGAAGGTTGGGGGTTCAAAACCATCAGTTTCTCCATGGAAGGAAGACTGTACAATGTACTTCCATAAAGATTTACCCTCTTGGATACCCAAAGGGAGTCACTATGAGTAGGAATCAACTCAGTGATTGAGTTTATTTGTTTTGGTTGGTTATTTATTTATTTAGGTTTATGAATGCCTACAAAATAATGTCCCAAATTCTTAACCTGGTCGTATGGATTATGCACCAACCAACTTTTCCAGCCTTATTTCTATTCTAGCTACTCCTATTTCCCCACAAGATATCACAAGTGAAACTGGACTACTTCACTGGGTATTTTTTGTGTGCAAAGGTCTTGTGGTAGTTAAAGTTATGTGTCAACTTGGCTGGGCTGTGGTTTTGAGTGGCTTAACAGCTGGATGTAGGTATTCCCCTGATGACATTATAATCACCTCCTTGATAGAATCTGCTGTGAGCACCTAATCGGTTAAAGTGGAGTTGCCTTCAGGATGTGGCCTGTTTCCAGTATATATGGAGAAGCTTTGAGAAAGGGCTGAAATACAGTTGGCTTTTTGGCATAACTAGATCTTGCATTTGGCTGAGTCTTCATCTCTAGTTCCTGGACCTGAACCAGTGGCCTGCCGTGTCGCCTGCCAATCTTGTTGTTGTTGTTGTTAAGTGCCGTCGAGTCGTTTCCAA